ATGATGATCTTAACTGAGTTTTGGGTATGTTAGCATTTCTACTGAGTTGATACTTATATCGAGGAAAGGCAAAATCTGAAGAGTTTGTTTATAGTTGGAGACAAGCCAAACCAATTACTAATCACTCCTTAGTAGCACCAGTTTTTGAAGCATGATTCAAGATTTGGACAACACTTAGTTTTGTATTAGGTGAACACTGCAAAATATGAAAAGTGGTTAAACACATCATTTTTTCACATTCATTCTGCAGGTTTTGCAGAACATCTTTCACATGTTGTTCCTTCTTTAAAAATGTTGTTGGTCTTTGTTTAAGAGATGAGAACAGCACAGGTACCAAGGGACGATACCTGCCTGACTATTACATATACATTTAAAACATGCCTCCTTAGATGTGATACAAGCTTTAGGCTAAACAGTTCATTGTGTCTGCACATTCCATTTTTCTTCTTGTACTGTCTACACCTGATCATTCTGCTACATCTGTTGCATTTTTAAAGATTTAATATTGTGTGTCACAGCAATGCTGAGTATTACTATGGACTATTTCAGAGACCTGTGCACAACAGCATCCAGGTCTTTCGTCTGAGAATACTACTTTAGGTTTCATCAGTGTTCAGTCTATACTTTTCAAACATGAGGTATTTATCAACTGCATTTGGGCTGCCATTCTCCTCATTGTCCCTTCCAACTCGAGATATTCTATGATTCTAAATAGCTTTGCTTACTTAAGCACCTCAAGAGTATAGATGTTCTATAAATGTTTTAAAGAGAACTATTTGATATAAACAAGATGATTTAGTCAGTGACTTCCAAGTATAAAGCTTAGCTGTTTTACAACATTAAGTTTATGTTTCAGACTATATTACCAGACTTTTATTTGTAGTTCCATGGGTTCTTGCAGATCTCTTAGAAAAATATTACTTGGCCATGAAGTTACGTAGCACTTCAATTTGGCTGGTTTGATCTGACCTCTGCTTTTTTCACTTTTGCCATTTCTCTGATTGCAATTGTCTATCTCTGTTAAATTTAAATAAATTTCTCAGGTTTCTGCTATTATTAATAAACTGTACAGATATATACTTAAGCTTTTTGAGATACTTTATTCTAGAAAATTATTTTTTATACCCTTGCAGCTAAGCCTATCCCTTACCTTGCTTGCAACTTGCCTGCTCCTGAAAGTTTTTCTACCTTTGACTGATCTTTGCATTCTCTCACTTATCTGTTACATCCTATGTTTTAACTACTGAAGTTCATTACTTACACAGCTTTGAAACTAAAAACTATCAGTTGCCACATCTCTTGTGCTATGACATAATAATCTCTAAGCTCTGCAAGCCTTCCCTAAGCATAAAGAAAAAAATATTTCATACTCCTGCTTTGTGTATTTCTTAATAATTTGTCTTTTTCTTTAAGTAAATCGGATGGTTTGAGGTTTGTTTTTTGTGGTGTGTGTGGTTTTTGGGGGTTTTGGTTTGTTATTTTTTTTTTACTAGTACCATTTTTACTGAGGTCTTTTGTATAAACAGTAAACACTCGGAAAAATTTCGGAAACAAACCTGGAAAGTTTATTGCTGTACTACTAAAACATTACATTAGACTCAGTAATGACATCATAGCTTCTTTAACAAATTAGTTGCTTCTTTGTCTCCTGATTAAATAGACATTAAGATGTGAAAATCCATTACAAGCTTGGTATAGCATTGCAAAAATAGTTACACATTAAATAGCTAGAACTAGTATATGAAGTCTGTAATAAGCCTTTTCCTACAACACTGTTGGTGACTGGCACACTCTTTCTGTCTTCAATTAAGACAAAGATTTTACTTATGGGTGGAAATCTAAAACTAAGAGGAGACCTTCTTAAAAACTGTTGAAGATAAGATATTTGTAATATTTACCTTTAACATTAATTTTCACAAATGACTAAGTGAAATCTTTTGTGAGGGTGATGATCTCAAGGAAAGATTGCTCCAGATATTTGGGTCAACAAATAATTACTTATAAATGGAACTCAATGGCATTCCAGCTTACATATTCCAATACACATACAGTATGCTGCCTGCCAGCTGCTTCGTACAAGTGCTCATATCTGTTCACATGACTGAGAAGAGTCTTTAGAGTCTTTGTTTTGCACAAGTGAGTAGTTCAGGAGATGAAAAGGAGTTAAGGACTTCAGTCGGATTCAAGAAAAGTGAAAAGAAGTTTTACTTTTCAGTAGGTGTGCATATGAGGAAACAGAATGAAAATAAAATTTAAATTAAAACTCAGAACCATATTATAGAAAAGAGTCATAGAAATGAAAGAATTTATTGTGGATAATTCAGGGTACTTACTGAATGTTTAACTGCCAGATCAAAAGGAACTAGTAGAGCTATTTCAGCAAGAGGTCCTTGCATTTATTCATTTATTCTCGCTTTGCATCTACAGTAATATGGCATTAGAACTTCATGCCTATCCTGTTTGACCCCTGTGATATTTCCCCCTCATGGATATTCTAAAGGTTAAAGTTAGCCTCACCCTCACAGAACAGCTGCCAAAGATCCCTGTAAGTCATCTGAGAGGCTCCTCCAGCGAGGGCTCTGCAGCAGGCTGTCCTGATTCGCTTGCTGAGGACTAAGTACCCTTCTCTGTGGCTGTGGAACAAGCCAAAGGATAGTAACTTCATTATGCTATTATTAGCTTCTGTGAACCTGTACATACAGCTACAGAAGAGTTCTCTGCACTATGTGCTACAATAGGCTTTTTGAAACACTTGGGTTTTTAACCACTTAGCTATTCTGCATCTGCGAAACTTCTGGTGGTGCAGCTGTCCAGGCTTTGCTGATGGTGAGCATGTTTTGTCTGTAGCACAGCAAACAGCAGCTGCATGTTCAACATCTTGTTTGTTGATCAACATTGTCTGTCTTGTTGTGTTTCATCTTGGCAAGAAAAATTCTTATTTTCTCCTGTGTGATTTTCCCAGAATATTTATGAACATGTTCATATGGCCAATTGCTAGGACTGGGGTTACTTAACAAAAACATTAAGTGACTTAGAAGCCTAAACTATTGATTTCAGGACAACGTAGGCTTCTGCAAGGGGTATACTTGTAAAGTGTGACACAAATTCCTGAGTTGGCATCAATAGCTCTAAAGAGCTCTGTACCACAAGCTAAAACGATAACAATTCTCTAAGAACTTGTGCACAGAGGTGCACAATGGAGAAGCAGCCTACTACAACCATAAAACAAGTGCTTTTAGTAATTTTACAAGAACAGACTTCACATGGGCTGTCTATCAATGTCTTTACTTGCGTTGGAAGTGGTGTGCTGATTTATTCTTTTCTTTCTTTGAATACTGAAATAAGGATGGAGCTAGTGCAGACTGAATTATTCTTGTATAATAGAAGCCTTACAAAGTTATTAGGCAGGATAAGCTACACCATTATGAACCCACAGGTATTGTGTTAATGACTGGTTTCTTCAGCTCTGTCCAGAACACATTTAACAGTACAGCTGTGGTTAAAGCAGGAAATGGAGAAATTGAGTGATTTGATAGACATACACTGCAGTTAATGTTTGCATAATTTAATGATGTTTATTTTTTAAATGAAAACATCTATAAAATGTGAAAAAAAGAATGCACCAGTCATGATTACTGATTTGCATTTCAAGACACATTTTTAATTCTCCTATTTCTCCTTTCTCCTGTCTGGTAAAGGATCAGAGACATCAGATTAAAACGGTTTCCTTGGATAACATAGCATAACCCCCTACAGTAACATGCTCAGCTCTAGGGCCCCCAACATAAGGGCATGGACCTATTGGAGCAGGTCTAAAGGAGGCCACAGAGATACTCTGAGGGCTGGAGCACCTCTCCTGTGGAAGCAGGCTGAGAGAGCTGGGCTTGTGCAGCCTGGAGAAAAGAAGGCTCTGAAGAGACCTTAGAGCAGCTTCCAGTGCCTAAAGGGGGCAACATAAAAGCTGGAGAGGGGCTTTTTACAAGGGCAGGTAGGGATAGGACAAGGGGGAATGGCTTTGAACTGACACAGGGGAGGTTTAGATTAAATGTTAGAAAGAAGTTCTTCCCTGTGAGGGTGGTGAGGCCCTGGCACAGGTTGCCCAGAGGAGCTGTAGCTGCCCCACCCCTGGCAGTGCTCAAGGCCAGGTTGGATGGGGCTTTGAGCAACCTGGTCTAGTGGAAGGTGTCCCTGCCTGTGGCAGGGGGGTTGGAACTAGGTGATATTTAAAGTCCCTTCCAACCCAAGACATTCAGGGGTTGTATGATTCTATGGTGAAGCACCTTTTTATTCTTTTTCTTCAAAATCATACCCTGGTGATATTAACTCAGTGGAATCTATCTACTTATGTCTTCACCTTAAAGTAAATGAAACATTTCTACCAGATATCCACTGGTTTGTCTTTAATTGTTAGGCTTTTATTTCATGAATAACTTCCACCAGACTCAATTCGAACAGTCAAAACCCACCAGCTTCAATAGATTTTGCTCAGGATACCGTGCTGAAGAGATCTACAGGAGTTCTTCAGAAAAGTAGATTCTGCTGGACTCAGTGTATAGAATTACTTTATTGAATAATATGTTGCCTACTCTTCCTTGAAAAATAAGGACGACATCAGTCTGCTTTGTTTGTGATCTCCTTTCTTTATACACAGGTGAGCGGGTTTGCCATCCTCTTATGTCGGTGACTGAAAATAAGAATTGAAGCTGTATTGCAACTGCACTTTGCAGTTCTATGCTAGCTCTAGGTGGTTTGGAGCCACCAGCTACAATGAGCTCCTGATGACAGTTTCATTGATAGAAGATCAATAGCCTACATATGCTATTCTAGAGCAATATGAAGCATCAAACAGCTTTTACAGAATGTGTGAATTTAACGATATAAATAATATAGAGCACTGGTACCACACTCAGTGTCATTCCTGTGTGAGAATGGGAATATAATGCTAGAACCTTACTCTGTACTTCTAACCCAAGAGAAAATCTATAATCTTAATTCCCTACCTCCTGACAGCTGAAATTTCAGCAAACTTCCTTAAAGGCCTAGGCAAGTGAAGGGTTAATGCCACAGCCTCACAAATTCAGCCTTGTTCATTTCTTGACCTGGTTCCTGTGATATGCCTAAAACCTGAAACAAGAAAGAAGGAATAGCATTACAAACCTCCTGAGTGTAGCAGTTAAAAATCCTACCACCGTCAGCGTGTTAAAAGCTTACTCGGGTCACTATGGTCACTAAGCCACCTGTCACTTGACAGATGATTTTAAGTCTTTGTGTGAAAATCATGCAGCCATAGAATAAAAAAAGGGTAGCAGAAATAAAATGTAGATGCTGTTGTCAAACTGTGCAGACATAAGGAAGAATACACCTGAAAAACGAAAGAAGACAAAGAGAGAAACTTAGATGTTTGGTACAACTAAGGTGGTGTATTTTAATGAATTATCTACCTCAGCATCCGAGCTAAAACAAAATCTTCAGAAGCCGGGCAGCGAAAGAAAATACCACAATGAAATTCAAAGAGGACTTGGGATAATTTTCTGTCAAATAAAGACATTTGTCAAGTGACAATTCTTTTTCAGAGATATGAAATAAGAAAATCAGAGGTATCACAAATAATATTTTCCTTTTTTTTTAAAAAAAAGAGTATTGAAAAAAAAAGAGAAAATGTCTATAGCCTTCAAGGCCTGGCAAAAGAGCGCAGTTAGAAGGACATGGTGTGAAATGCTAATCTCAGAAATCAAATAAGGAATGATATTGTGGAATAAGTCTCCATAAATTTCTGTCATAACATGCAATGTTCTTGTAACTGACAGAACATCTGTGGAGAGGAGAAGGAATCTGACAATAGGATACATGTGATGCAAAAGGCTTGCAAAGATGATGGGAAATTAAATATTAAATTATCTTTTACATATTCAGAGGCATTTGAGAGAACTTCCTCTGCTAGCATTTTCATTTTGGTAAGCGTTGGGTGATGAGATCAGATTGTGTTATTTTGCTTCTGCATGTAGAAATGTCTATGCTGTCCCCCCCCAGAAAGACAAATTGACAAAAAGCATTAAAAATGAATGACTAATGTTACAGTTTGCAATAGGAAATCATATTTTGAGTTCAGATGCAAGCAGTGTTCTTTCAAATCAGAACTGATCAAGAAAACAGTCACGGCCAGCATTAATTGACTGTAGTGGGAGTCTAGTGACTGCAGGAAGGAAAATATTGATGGTGCTGATACCAGAGGTAAGGAAGAACACCTCAAAGCCCTCTTTTGCCACAAAACCCAACAGATGCATAAAGTTGGGATTGACTCCATGACAGTACATTTACCTTCTACCTAAATGCACTCCCTAGAATTACAGCAGCTTTTCCTGGTGCTGGGTACAGCCTGGCTCCTATCCTGCTGGCTGGTTTTTGCATTTTTTTAACTCCATCAGGAGTAGTTAGTAGAATGCAAGCTACACGTCTAGGGATACTGCAGCTATTCAGTTTGTGGCTTCAAATTCTCTCAAGCTTTCCTAATAAGCAAAAGTCTGTAAACAATTCATATGCTGCTTTATGCTCACATAAAAAAGAACAGTATCAGATGATGTCAATATGTTGAAACTGTTCTCTGGCTAATGAATTAATGAATAGGAGGAATAATTCTGAAATGAACCAATTACTTGCTGTAAACAACACACCCTGTTGTGTGTGAACTTAATTAGAAAGGTTTTCTCTTTCAGCACTAGAGCACTCATAATTCTGTTAGAAAGTCTGAAAGAAATAATCTTAGAATTGGGCAGCTGTTTGCGAATTAGCACTGTCACAGAACTCAGCATTTTAAATGCTTGAATTATGCAGACTCAGGATTTATTTTAACCCACAGTACATTGCTATACTTGAAATTTAACTCATTCTTAGCTATGTGCTGCTTCAGTATGAGTGAACCTGTGAAGGAAGACATTGCGCTTTTCAGTGTATGCAGAGATGCGGGAGAAAGCTACACTCTTTCATTTGGTGGAGTTATAAACCTTAGCTAAGGTAGGAAGAAGTTAAGTGTTGAGAGCAACCTAGTACATTCTGTCACAAACGGAATTTTGACAGCAGCACCAAAGGAGGCAATTAAGCCACTTCCAGGTTTGAATGTTACGTGGAGGCTGACTACAGCACATCAGCTGCTTGTCTAAGGTGTGGGTGGCATTCTCCCACCCCATCAAGATTTCAATGCACTCCATGGTTTCAGATGGATTCATACAAAGCCTTGCAAAATTAAACCAAATGAATGCATTTTTAAGAAGGGAAATTCTGCAAGTAATATAAATGACATTTGGGTGATGCCTCAGGAAAACATTTGGAAAGAGTACTTACAAAGGGAAATCTAGCTTCTCCTTTTATAGCACACTTTATTTCTTCACAAGTAATACTTCTGTAATTGTTGTAAGTACCAAGGCCAAACCCTTCTGCAGTTAAAAGGACTAAATGCAAATGTGTTGTGAGACACTGAGTTTACACCACAATGGGTAATGACTGTTCATTTATTTCTAAAAGTAAGAACCTTTGTGGTTTACTTTTGAGCCAAAAAGATTGTTGGCCACTATTACATATGTGAAAATGTGATAGCTCATTTAAAATGAAGCAGCAGCTCCTGACAGAAGCAAAACTAACCCCCAGAAAACACCGTATCAGAGTATCTGTTTTCCAAATATGAATGAGGTCACCCTTGGATGTGATCTATGTGTTATTAAAATGAAAGATTCCTCTAGGCAGAAAGCCATTAAGCCTGAATTAATGCCATAAATATCTAACAGTTACTTCAGGTGAATAATTCTGATTAAAATATTGCTGTAGTTCTCTCAAATCACACTCCATGAATATTTGTCTCATGAAATTAGAAATTATGAGATTAAGAATACAATGGTTAGCACATACTAACATGCTTATACATGATACAGCGGAGAATTTGCTGCAAGTTTCATTAAGTGTCTGGTGGTGTGCCCTTGGCAGAGAGAGGTGGTGTCACTGGCATTGTCTCAGCTCTGTGGCTATGGTGCCCATACAGGATGTCAGGACTTGGATTTAATTTCTTTCTCTGCTAAGAGAACTTCAACCCACAGCTCCCATTTCCTGTGAGAGCTTGGGCAACTGTTGGTTAATGAGGCAGGAAGGACTCTATTAAAGCCACAGCATTTTGTGAGGAATCATTAAGTATTAATTGGGCCAAACCTGGGGGGATGCTGCGAATAGTTGGGTCTTAGGTCTGCCACCAGTCAATGTTTCATTTTCTCCCTTTCAACAGCCTTCAGGGCAGGGATGTGAACCCAGGCCTGCTCACTGAAAATGGTGTGAAACTACTGTCCGCTGTAGGCATGCCTGGGAACATGGGGGGGATGCAGCACACCGTGCCACCCCTATGCTGAGCAAATCCATCATGCAGCATGACACTCATGCATGCAGCAGCAGCATGTGAAAGCAGGGTGTTGAGACCTCTGTGCCCCTCTGGCTGCAGTGGAGAACTAACTTACCACCTCCTCAGCCTGGGAACACACCACCTCCTACAATACAGAGCTGTACGAGCCGGAACTTGGGTGTGCTTGGGTTTGCCAGCCTCCCTTCTCCCAGTGTGAATTATTTCTCCTGTGGCTTACAAGTTGTTTCAAGCATGACTTGCACAGAGCTAGATCAAATTCCTGTTATCATTTCATGATTTCTACTCAAGATTGGCATTTCTAACGGTTTTACTTTATTTTCAAGAACTCTAATTGAGTTTGCAAAACATTATTTTTCCTCTGAGTTGAAACCAAAAAGACAGTAATCTCTCTGATCAATGCCTCTGAGGTTTCCAAGAGAACATGTGCTGAAATCCCAAAGGCAGTTTTATGGTGTGAATTCAAGACACTTTTTATTCCTAGTAAGAAAGCTATATGACTTCCAGTATTCATAAAGCATTGTTTCTATATAAGATTTTGGAGTGCAATTTGCCCTTCATGCAGATGAAGATTGGAAGCCCAGACTGAGGAAAAAACACCGAACAATTGGTAGGATAATAGTAGTAACACAAGTTTTAATTTTAAAAAAGAGATTGTTTGAAGGGAAAAGATTAATTGTATTGACAAAGAAAATTGAGTTTTACTGTAATGTTATCTTCATTTATCATGTAAGTTTTACTGTAAACAAGCTAGAAGAAATGATTAGAGCAGATGTGATCAAAATTTTATTGAGGTTTGGCAAGATGGCAGATTTTATTCTTTATCTGACACCTAAAACATTATCAAGAATCAGAAGCAAGTATTACAAATATGGAAATTTGACACATTTCTAGACAGTGGACCAGATCCTGTCCTGCATGAGGGGAAAAACTATTAAACTGTCTCAGCTCCTTGATCTAAGGGGTAGTCTTGCAACTATGGTTCCCCCAGCCAAAGCAGGAATGTACACTGATTTCTGCAGATCTTTCCATGAATTTAGGACCTGGAGGAAGTCTTGTTAAGGCTTCATCTGTATTAGGACATTAAACTTGCCAAGGACCATCCTCTGGCACTGAGACTAACTGGCATGGACTGACCTCTTCCTCCACAGGTAAATACATGGTCCAATTTTAGCACGTGTGTGCTAAATACAGAAATGTCTTTAGAATTTGATTTACTATCTACTTTGGACAAAGGATGCTTCTCAATTAATCACTCAGGTAAGGACTCTGTTGTCTTAATAACCATGATGGGGATAGAGAATTAAAAAATTCTTGTATTGTATAACCAGTTCACTCAATCTTCTAGGTAGTGATTTTTATTCTAAAATAAGTCAAAAGAGTGATTAACCCGCCTTCTCTCCACCTAGAGAAGGCACACATAGCACCTGGGAAAAAATCCGTACCTTAACTTTCCCCGTTCTTCACAAATGAGTTTTCTTAACTTAATTGCCTTCACGTGTTTTTATGCCATTCCTGTTTTTAACCACCAGTCAAAATGAAACCACTTCTGGCCTAAAATTAATGATAAGTCACAGGTAATGAAAAATCTGTACTTCCGACACTCCCACAATGAACGAAACAGCTTCACTGAGAAGGGTATAGAAGTAATAAACTTGCAATAAATGTCAGAAAGATGTGAGCCCTTTATTGGAAAAAAACTCATGTACTGCTTTTAACAACTGAAGCTGTCAGTTATATAAATGATAATGTGCACTGAGGGGAAAGCAAGCTATAAATCCTTCATTTCTGAAATGAAATTTTATCAAACATGAAGAAATAGGTTGATGACAAAATTAATTCTCTGGCAATGCCCAATATAGATGCATCTGGATAATGGTGTTTTGAATTCAGACCAAAAAAGGATTTTCCCAAATATTTTCTTACATAGCAAGTGCTTTATATCCAAAAGCAGCTGCATTCTTTTGATCATCCTCTCCCTCAAAAATTCTGGAATATTTTTTTTACTGTCACTACCTGGTACTGAGCAGAGATCAGAGTGCTGGTTCCAGTAGGCACCTAGCCGAATAGCAGGCTATTGCGTTCAGAGAAACCATGAGAAGAAACACTCTTCACCTTCTCCAGCACAGGTTGGTTCCCCAAGCTACTATAGACTCTGGGGCATTCCAACACTGACTTCTCAGTGGCCCAGAAACAGAATTTACAGAAATGTGAGATTCTTTCTGGGTCCATAGCTGTAGAAAGAGGCTTAAATTCAGCATGAAGTTTTAGACTCAGTCCTATGTCTCTTTTCCATCTTTACTGCATTCACTCATCTTTTTAAATCTGAAGAAAACCGATGCATCTAAATGGGGCAGTATTAATGCTAATGCCTTTACTTTGCTTCCATTACCAGGTAAATATATTCTATTCTTTAATGAACAAAAGATGCAGAGGTAAATTATTCTAAAAAGACAGGACTAGAAAGACGCAGCCCGAGGTTTATACCCTTCATAAATAAGGGAGGCAAGACACAGGTAGTTACTAAGATGTGCAAGAAGAAAGGAAATTAAATCACAAAGCCCTGATGACATTTATCTAAGAGTCCTGAAGAAACTAAAGTCCGGAGTAACTGAACTACTGCCAAATGTATGTAATTTATCTTTACACACACCTGCTGTATCAGATGAGTGGACTACGTGTCATACCCTACTTTAACAAAGCTCTAATATTTGCGTAAAGACATAAAGGGAGTACAGGACGTGAAGTATTTAAATGCAAGGGTATTCCAACCTTCTCATACAGGGCAGGAAAATTTATCTCAAAGGTTATCCAATTTCTTTTCAAATGGTAAACCCAGGTTGTGCTGTCCTACAGGAAGGCTCCATCAGAGGATGAATGGGATTAACTGATGCATTAGTTGTGAGTGCTTTAATGTTATAAATGATATTTCATGGGTTTGATGAATAGTTACATTTGGTTTACCTGTGGTTCTGCATTTGAAAGGGTAATATAGCCAAAGCAATAAAATTGAGTAAGTAGCACAGTATAGGCTGTTATTACTTAAAAAAGAATAAATGAATTACACTGAAAGGCACTAGACATGCAATAACTGTCAGTCTGTTATCTATCAGCCCATTTTATTTCTATTAGGTGGTAGGAAAGAGTTCTATGTTTTGTGTAATTATTGATGTAAAATTCAGATGAAAACAAATCGGCTTCTTCCTTCAGCTTTGTTTTCCTTTCTGCATATGATAATACACAAGTCAAAGGATCTGTTATAGGAAATACATATACATTATTTTTTTCTCCAACCTCACCTGCCAGAAGAATAAAGGTTACCTTCTGGCATGACAGATTGGTGGGAAGGTCATGGTAGGTATTCCAGTAAACCTAGGAATACATTTTTTGGCACCACATGATATACATTTTAAATAATGCAACACAATATTTGAATGTACTTGCCAGGAAAAAGCGCTGGTTCTATTTAAGCACTCTTCAGCTCCTGCCTGTAAAAGCTTAGCAAGCATGAGCTTATGCAGGTCACAACATCTACCTACTGATAACCAGTAGTATTGACCTACTGATAACCAGAAAGTATCACTGACTGTGATACTTACTGATGGTGGGAAAGCAAAGGGATAGTCTATATTCCTATTTTCTCAGGGAGGGAAAAAGGGAAGTTCTAATAGGAAAAAAAAGAAACAAAGCACAAAATAAAAAAAAAAAAACAGAGGGAAAGATGAGGACAAGTGAAGATGTAGGATGGCTTTTGCATAGGAAAACTACAGCGATTTTCCTTCTACCGGTAAAGGCTAAGGGAAAAGAAGGTCTGGGGCCTGTGAATTCCCAGACATCATAAAGAAGTATATTAAAAATGATTGTCCACCATTTCTCAGAACACAGGAGTGGAAGACCACCCAGTGTGAATATCAAGGAACCAGTATACCACTCATGTGGTGAAGTTGAGGTATTTTTATACAAAATGTATAATTAATCTTGGAACTCTACGGCTCAAGCTGTTGTTGAAACCAAAAGTCAAAACAGATTAAAATAGATGTTACGAGAAATTCATAAACAATCTATAAATAGATGTTAAATGCAATGGTCTGAATTCAGCCTCCACACCGGGAGTTCCACGCTGCTAATTGCTGAAAACACAGATTGCTGAGAGAAGAATGATTTTATATTTTTGCTATTTCTTACACTGTTTTCCAAGCACCCACTCCAGATCACTGCCTTTGACTCAACCAAGTATGTCCATTTTTCTCCTATGTGCCCTTTACTATTATGTTGGTTTTATGTAGCATTATGTTGGGGCTTTTTTCCTGAAAAATGGGATTCCTTTTGTCATGGTTACCAGCATACAGCCCACCTACAGCAAGTTACAAAACAGATGCTTTGGTGCAAACACCATGGCGTTACACAAGTCACACATTTACAGTTTGTATATCTACCCTTGCATGTTTTATTCATTCTTGTATCTCTATGGCTTTGTATTTCATCCTTCAATTGTCAGGATTACATTATTCTAAAAAGGACACTAATGCTTTGTAAGTAAGCATTAGGTAAGTTTGGAGCATAAGGTAAGTTTGGAGAAATAAGTGTTTCCTTGGCTTTATGTATCATTTGGCCATGATACATTAAAGGATAAGAAAACCAGAGAATAATAGCAGACAAACTAGATAGGTTACTGCAGAACCACTGACATGAGTGAAGCAGAGTTGCTTAATTTGCCCCAGTTGCACTGAAATCATCTGGATCAACATCTTTAACTCCGGGACAAAGACAATGACAAAGACAGAAATCTTGGTACGCAGAGAGGAAATAACTGCTATTACAGAAGAATTGAGCCCTAAACAACTAGGGGAAAATGAAGCATAAATTTTTTTTGACACAGAAAACATCTTTTATACGCTTGTTGAAAGACCTGTGCAGTTGTACTGTTGAAAGGAAGTATCCTAGTAACATTTGGAGGTTGGTTATCTTCATGAATAAAGATAGCAGTTGTCTATTGTATGAACTAAAAAGAAAATTGGAGTAACAAGTGAATGTTTCTGCTTTATGACAGTGCATATGAGTAGTCAGGTGGTGAAAAATGTCACAAAAACAAAGGACAAAACCTCTCTGGACTATTTTTACAATGCTCTTTCAAACAGGTGGCATCACCCAGAATCCAACACGGTATCAGGACTGAATGAATAATACAGTCATTGAACTTTGGTATTTCTTTTGTATTTATTGTTTTTTAGGGGGAGGATTGCTTTAAGGGTGCCAAAGTCTGTGGATTGTTATTTTCTTCTACCATGATAATTCATGTTTTCCTACTTCAAGCAAACACCCTCCTACTAGTATTAAAAATGAACAGAGAAAGAATACTTTGAACATATACAGGCAACATCCATTTCTGTGTCCTAACACACTTTACAGGAAGCAATTAATGCTTACAATGCCCATGTGAGGTTAGAGGTATGAAAGCTGCAATGCAGAGAAACTGACATGATTATCCTCAGAGGCACATAATAGGGATTTCCAGTCTGGCACTCCAGCACTGAGTGCTTATCTCGAGTATACCTTAAGAAATCATTCAACACTTTACAGCGTATGTATCATACATGCTGAACTGACTCGGCTCCCCAAAGAGATGTTTCAAAATTCTGAGCAATCTTTTGGTAGGTTTTGAGAAGAGAAACAAAGGCCATCAAATCATTCATTTAAATGTTAATTTTAGAGCATACCGAAAAATGCTTTTATTATTTTGTAAGGGGAACAAGAAACAAAAAGTGCCAAGAGGTTTCTCATCCTTCTATCAAGGCAGTTAGTCTACACAGTTAAGTTTTCAGTGTCAAAACGATATTATTTAACTGATAGTAAAATGTTGCAAGTCACGTCTGGTCACACACAGCCAGCAGGAGGGGAAAGGAGTGCTCCAAGATCGGCTCCTGGATCAAAACACAGAACTGCGAAAAAAAGTTAATGTCAACGTAATCTTTGCCTGGCTACTCATTTAAATCGGGTGGAGAGATTTTATCTTTTGCTTTCCCCTTCCAGTAAGTGAGATTTCCCCTTACAAAAGTAACAGCATTTCAGCCAACGCTGAAAACGTACTGCCACTTTTGAGATGAGAGATGGGGCCTGCAAGATCTGCGCGTGATGATCTGAAAAGCCACCCCAGCCGTACGTGCAAGCAAGCACTCCCATGCGAGGATGTACAGACTCCCTGGGGGAGGCGGCAGAAGCTTCCTCTGAAATTTACCTGGAGAATGGAGAGATACATGTGCTCCAGCGCCCCTCTCCGCCTCCCGCCCCCTCCCGGTAGCCGCTATTTGTGAGCCAGGGAGCCTCCCGCACCTGCCTAACTCTCCCCACCGAGCTAAGGAGGCTCCGCGCCCGCTGGGAGAGCACCCACCGCGTCGCTCCGCCGGCCCGGGCCCCAAGTATCGCGGGAGCCGGGCGCTGCCCGCGCCGCCGCAGCCATTGGGCGGTGCGCCGGAGGAGGAGAGGCGGCGGCTGACGCGCGGCCACCGACCCGGCGAGGCGGCGGTCCACGAGCCGAACCCAGCGCAGCCCCCGCCGCTCCCGGGGGCCGCTGTCCCGCCGCACCGCACCTCGCCTGGGCGGCCATGAGGCGGAGGAGGCTGGTGGCGCCGGGCTCTGCCCTGGGCGGGCGGCGGCGCTGCTGAGCGCGGGGCCAGGGGCGCCGCTGCGGGGCTCAGCGTCGCGCCGCAGGTAAGGGGAGTGCGACCGGAGGATCCCCGGGTTGGACGAGTCCCAGCGCTGCCGATCTCAGTGCGGAGCCTGCCAGGAGCAGCCCTCACCCCCTAACCCCCCAACTTGAACCCTGGCTCCTTTGTCAACTTTCAGTGCGTGGTGGTGAGTCCGTGTCCGCAGGCGAGCCGCTTTCGCCGGGGCCGGTGGGTGCAGCCGATGCCGGTGGGTGCAGCCGGGGCCGGAGTACAGCACTGGTACCGGGGGAGCCGTTCACTGGGCGAGGCTGTTCGCGGAGGAAGCTGTCCTTGCTTTATTCCCGCTGCCTTTCCTGCAGGTTCCAGGTACGGGTTAAGGTGGTGGAGAGCTTTTTAAGCAGGGGTAAGTCTGACCTGAGGCACCGGCTCTGGGCAGCGATGTATGACAACCTGCGATTAAATCCGAGTCCTGGGACGCAGTTTTCTCCCTAACGCTAACGAACTGACATTGTGCTTTTTGAGGTTGAGAGAAAAGATGTAAATGTCACTGGAAAACAATAGCTAGTGTATGTTTAAGGTCGGTAGAGTGTATTGAAGGTAGAGATGGAACGGTGCTTTGGGCTGTGCATGTTAGCCGTAGGTCTCACGGCTCTCTGGACGTCGTTAGCCTGACTCGCTCCTGTTTTTCCCAAGGCAGCGTCTCTGCTCGCAGCAGCGCCGGGTGCTCCGAGCCAGCAGGGCAGACCGCTGTTAGCTTTTTCCTAGCTGCTTCTGTTTGTTTAGCTTGAATGTAAAGGGTCAAATGCCGGTATAAATGACATTTGGCACAGCTGATTTGAAGCTAGGGGTTTTGTTCAGAACATTGTGAAGTTAGGATGCCAACTGTTTTCACAAGGAATTGGGTAAAAACTTCTTCCAAGCTTGCAGAAAATAACATTTCTTCTCAAAAACCGTAAAATAAACTTTATCAGTCTGAAATAGTAAAGAAAGGCAAAACCCAGCTGCTGGAGCTGCCATTATTTCTTTTTTTGTTGCAAAATGAGAACGGGTTGAATATTTGTTTGGCTGCTCCTGGGTGACTGGAAATAGAAAAGATTAATGAAAGATTAAGACATGCTTAGAATTATGTAGAGGGAAGCAAGAGGTAAAGATTGTTTTAACTGGTTGATGGCTACTGACTTTGAGGAAAGAGATGAGGTCTTAAGGTTTATATAGTTTTTCAGGTATTCTCTTAATTTTCCTCTGTTGTGGCCTTGGTTGATAGCATTGTCTGATTGCTGGTGATCCTGGTGTTCTACGTTCATTGGTAAAACCATGCAAAAGTGCTAAGGCTAATGGGAGTTAAAAAAATTGCTGGGACTTGAAAAATGATACTTTATCTTCTGGTATTTTTTTTCTTTAACTAGGCCTGTTACTACAAATGCTTTAGGATATTTTTTTTTTAATATAAAAAGTGGTTTTGGAAGGCATTAAACTGAGAGTGTGTAATACGGCATAAATTTGGATTCCCCTGGGGTTAGTTTTCTGAGGTTTAGAAGTGATTTCTCCACCAAATAGCTATTCTAAGAAACAAAGTGTGTGCTGTATCTTTCTCCCCTTGTGCTCATGCACGAATGATTAGTGTTTGCAAGTTCCTGAAGATGTGCTCTCGGGAGATGCTGATGCTGGTAGAATAGGGTGGAAAGGTAGACTCGGCGTCTCCTGTTTGACTGCGGATGAGCTTTAAGAAAATAGAAGTGGAAATAGTGCCTTTCAAGCACAAATGAGGACTGGGGGGAGGATGTAAGCCTATGTGATTCTGGGGTTTGTCTGTTAACACCTGCCTCCCACCTGCCCTAGAACAAACTATGATTCTTCCTGAACCATCATGAAGAAGAGAGGTGATGTATCCTTTCCCACCATCTCTACCCTCAAAAACACTATTACTTGCAGATAGTAAGTTGTAAAAATGTTCTTTATCAGCTATAGCAGAAGCTTATGACCAGTTTATATTTGGACATGTGCAGAATCAGTTTGAGTTACTTTCCTTCTAATGTTAAGTGCAGTTGTTTTGGGTTGAGGAAAAAAACGGTAGAGAACCACCAAACCCTACTGTTGGATGGCAGAAAAATTAAGGCTGAAGAAGTAAAGCAGAATCACTTGGAAATAAGAAACTAGGAAACCTTGTAATATTTTTTTTTTCCTATGTAAGACAGAATTCTAGCAGAATTCTAATTCACATGAGCAGGTGAATTCAAGAGACTACTGCTTCTGAAAATATGGGAGAATTCAGTACCATTTGGCTGTACATCACTTTTATGAACATAGGAGAATCTGGTTTGTTTTTTCTTTAATAGAGTGAGAGCTGTGAACTTTCTAATGAGCCTGATTTCCTCACAAACAACAATATGAGTGGGGAAAAAAAAAAAGATTAGACAGTGTATATTCTACTACTTTTGTGATCAGTTTTAACTTAGAATAGGTATGATATGACTTACTGATTGTCAAAAATGGCCTTTTTAGTATTCACTAACTACTTTGTTCAAGACTGTTGTTCTGTTGGATTGGAAGAAGTGAGGGAGTTTTGATTTCCCAGCCTTACAAGTAAGTTCCTTTGGCCTTGCTATGTAGAAAAAAGTATCAACAGGTTTTTTCTCATCACAAAGTTGGTGAAATACATGTTTTCAGTCGATGCAGCTGGAGGTGGTCCTGGGTGGGTATGTCCTCCTAGCTCAAATGAGCAAGAATGCCTTACAGTCACTATTTCCTGATCTTCAGGTTTGAGTTGATGGCTGCTGATGAGTGCTGCATTAGGACTGCACGGTGGTGAGCAGGTGTACGTTCAGGAGATCACTGCCCTTCTTGGCAATGCAGAGTAGTAAGGAGTCTATCTTACAAACAGGATTTGTGTAGGAGATTCTTATAGAGGCAGTGGTTCTTTCTTTATTGGTTCTCTTATTCCAGCTGTTTAAAGTTTTGGGTTTGTAGTGTTACCTTCACACACAAACACCTTTGCACCAATCCCACTCATCACATGGACAGTCTGAGTGTTCGGTTTATTTTTTGATGTCAGTGCAATGTTGATAATGAGTGTGTCAGCGCAGTCAGGGTGGCTGGGCAGCTGGTTCTGTGTCTCTGTGGTATGTTTGGCACCTGTGCTGGTGAGTGCTGCAAGCCACATGTTTGATAAAGGTTCATAAGGAAATCACTGGTATGTGGCTACAGCTGTCTGAGCTGTGTCCTTCCTTGGATATTTGCCCTGTAGCTTTTCCCCTGTGTCACTGCCTGGCTTGCATCAGCATTTTGTTCTTGCTACTTGTTAATTTCAGTGTTATGTGGGAGAACACGCACCATCTGAAAACAGAGTAAATATAGTCAGGTTAGTCTGCTAATTAGCTGTGATGAGGTCCTGCAACAGTTTGCAGGGGGAATACCTGCCCGCCACCTAGTGAGGCGGTCACTGGAGATGAGAGAGGGGAGATGCCAGGGCTGACTGTCAGGGCGAGAAGAAACCTGTGAGGTTGGGGACCAAAGTCCTCTGATTTATGTCGGCTACTTTGGGAGAAGAATGTGGAAAAAGGAATGAGAAGAGGACTGCATTTTTTTTGTTTGCAGTATGTTATAGCACCTGGGATTGTGTTCTGGTATTTGGGTATTGAATTTATGCCCATGTTCTTTTAAGGGTTCAGGTGGTTTTTTTGTGTGTATGTAGTATTTTTTTTTTGATTGGTTTTCTTTTAGTTGGCTTTATGTTTTTGGTGCTTTGTGCTGACACAGTGGCAGAAACAGCCTGGTTAATACAAGGTTGGCATCTGAAGGCATGGACTTTAGAGGACAGAGCAAACTGCAAATCCAGATAAATTCTTCAGAAATTTGACACAGCTTGCAAGTTAAACTGGCTTCCAGAGAGGTTGCTCTGAACACAAAAACTATTTCTCATCTGGATTTTGGGGATGTGGTGCTTGGAGGTATCGATTCTGGGAGAAACTGGTGCTTGTAATTGGCTGACTCTAGTCTGAACAAAGCAATGCAAAGTAAAGGGTAGGCTTTTATTACAAAGAAGTTTGGTTAGATGAATTAATAAATCTTTTCCACTTTAATTTCTGAGTCATGGAAATGCATTTTAAAGTGAAGAATAGGTCTATTATTAAATGTCAAGCAGCCTATTTCAGGAAAGGAGAAAGGAGTAGAAACTAATTCTTAAAACACAAAACACTGCATAGCTCTAACTACAGACCTGATTTCCCTCCCCACCCCCCACGCCCCCCTTTATTTATTTATTTATTTATTTTTTCTTTCTTACTAAATGTGAAAGAGCTTCCTGTATTGATCTGGGAGATTGGCAGTTCTAGCATTATAAGGTCTTCAGATAGCTGTACCTGAATTAGTAAACTGCTCATGGTATTAAATGCTGATTCATGATTTGTGGAGTGTATAGTATGTATTGAGGTTTGGTTAGATCAATCTAAATTTTTTGTAGGCAAAATGTATTTTACATATATTTATTTTAAAATAAAGGTATGCCTTAGATAACCTTGCAGACCTTAAGGGTTCTTAAAGCAAGCTTACCTCTTCCTTTTTTAAATGGTAATTGCTCTCAGAGTGACTCTGATAAATTTAATCTATAATGCAAAGCACATTTTACCCAAAGCTTGAGCAGTGGACTTACCTTGTTAAGTCATATTCCATGGTACCACGGTGCTAGTACACATGGATGCTGTTGTGTTTTAATAGTCTTGTCAGTTCACACTGGCTAATTGCCAGTCAGTGCAGTACTGCCTGCATTGGACCTGAGTCTGCAGCAGAGACTGACAAAAGTAATAATGCCAGATCTTTCTGGGACTGGTGCTTAAATATTGTCATTGTCTGTTTGTGGGGTGGTTTTTTTGTTTTGTTTCGGTCTTGTTTTTTCAACTCCAGCACCTGCAGTGAATCACAGGAAAGCCATGAGAAACAATCACATTCATCCTTTGATTTATTAGAGATGAAGGCTGGAAATCTTAGATTTTGGATGAGCTGAACTCTGGCCTGCCTTCCTTCAGTTTGAAAAAGACATTTGTGATT